CTATCATATACGTACATGTATGCACTACTGAAATAACATGTTAGCATTCTCCATTCTTCTGAGTGCTTTTCCATAAATAACTTACCTATAGTTTCAGTGTTAGTAGCAGTGTCATAATGATTATATATTAAAACTAGAGCACTCAGTCTTGCCAGCTCCGAAATCCAGAGCTCTACCACAGAGTCCACTCGAACCCCCTTTAAACAAGAACACCAGTTTCTTACTTTTAATATCCAATAACCTTCTAAATTCAACGTTGTTTGTTTGTTTTTTGCCTTAGTCATAATTGTTGATAACATAAATGAAACATTTATAATTGATATTGGTTGTTATCTTGTATCAGATTTTTTGCAGAAAATGCCAGCCTTTGCAGATGTTTCAGGAGGTGTGACTTCAGTGTTGTCTGTAGTAAGTAGACACATTTTGATAAATAATTTTCTGTTTTTGTAATCAATTCCATTCTTCTCAGTCCACATTATTTGTGTACCCTTTAGTATCTAATCAAAATTAACAGTAGAATGTAAAAAATGAACAACTTTATTTCTCAAAGATTTCTCGTTGTTGGCCTTATAGTATGTTTGTGATGTCTGGGCGCCATCTATCCAGCTTCTATCTTTACTCCAACTAATGCTACATACTAAAACGTCGATAAGTGCATTGTTTACAGGCGAGACTCATGTTCAGCTTTGGTAATCAGAATATCCAAAACGAGGATTCCCCATGTACTTGATAGTGATATATATATATATATATATATAAAAGGAATATGCATCAAGTTGGGGCACCAGAACCATCCAGGAAGAGCCCTGAAAAAATTCATCTCCTAACCATGATTAGCAAAGTGCAGCATCTTGTAACAAGTGGGAATCTAGAATCACGTGCCCTAAACAACAGTGAAAAACATAATAAAGAAGGATTTTTGCATGGAAAAGTGACATAAGTCACAGGTAGACCAGTTGTTTCTGTATCATATCCGTTCAACTCTTGTATGCCTCAAGCTGCTAAACAATGAAGCAGGTATTCGTACTATTGTAGCACCTATGGATTTATGTTGAAAAGGGTGTTGGGAAACTGTTGTCCTTGTAATCTGGACAGAATATTGAAAGAAGCAAATTAGTTGTGATATGCTTTTGACATGAAAGCCTTATGATGTTTTTTTTTTGTTTTTTTTTCAGTGGAATCTACATTGCAGAATTGTTGTCAGGATGCACGGTAGTCAACATAGCATGACCATATGTGACGACTTAGACTATAACGACATGGTGTGGCTCCAAAAGCGTTGTATGTAATAGATTGCACTTCTGTTTTGTCCGTTTCTAGGTGTTCCAAACATAAAGGAGGTTTCAGTGACTAGAATTTCGCGCACGGAGGTGATTTGACGATTCAGTTTAGTTTATTAAAACGTTCACCCTCTAATAAAAATCTAGAGCACTCAATATCTATGAACAGCAGCACGCTGCCATACAGTACACAACCAAATTACGTTCGAACAATGCTTGTTTGTTTGTTTTGTGGTTTAAGCATAAAGGCGGTTGAATTTATTTCAAATCATCACATCTAAAAATGCTTTCCAAACTAAGGTGGTCTCAAATCTCCCTCCCCTAAACTATAGTATTGTTGCGTCAGAGAGGTCACGTGACTAGTATCACGCCACGTCTTTCTAGAAATATCCTGTTCCTTCATGAATGCCCTAGCTTTTACTAGACATGTGTTAGTCTTGTATATACAGTGGTCCCCCTCTCTAACGACCGACCTTACAGCCAGTCTATGTCGTTAGGAAGGGGGTGGGCCATGGGGCCATTGCCTACAATCGGCCAGTCATCCTTGGCCAGAGCCAGAGGCGAGTGGTAATCAAGCGTGACTGATTGATGGTTTCACACCTTTCGTGCCAAATTCGTGGACAGGCATAGAGTGATTATTTATGTGAATAAAGTGACATTAAACAACTAGTGTGTTTATTGTTTGATTTCAACATCTAAAACTTATGTTTTTTTTCACCATTTCGTAGATTTTTGCATTTTAAGAGGTAAATGTCAGAGGCAGCGATCGTCAGGCTAAATGAAAAATGCGAACTGTGGAAACACTATGAATAGTCAGAAAATATTTCTTTATCACTTATTTATTTTTTTCAATCAATATTCAAAGCATGCACAATATCAACTTACACAACTTCATCTTACATAAAGAAATCAGATAGTTTTGTTTGCTTAACACATGACACATCAAGTTCGACAGCAGACAAACCCGCGAGGGCAATGTCCAGAAGTTTTTTGTTGTTGGTTGTCAGTGCTCGTTCTCTTATTTCTTCAAAGTGGGAAAGAGTTTGTCGGGCCGAGATGTGAGAAGCTGCTAGGGCTTCTGTTTCTGTTTCTTCTTCGACCTCAAGGGCAGTTTCCACGACACCAAACACCTCCGTCGTTGCCGTGACCTCGTTGTCTCACTCAACAAAATCTGCCCATGACGACCCCTGAAGCAGTGGCAGCAGTTCGGCTGGAGCCGTCTCTGTGGCATCAGCAGAGGCCGTGGGAGCTGTGGCAAAGCTGGATCCACAGTGTGCAAAGCACTTCTGAATGGTTTCAGCCTGCACACAGTCCCAGGCATACTTCAGCAAGATATGGCATCCAGCACTGTGACCTTGCCGGCCAGATCAGCAGCAGTGCTAGCCTCATCCATCTTAAGGAAGATGTGGCAAAGAAGTTTTTTCCTGTAGGTGGATTTGACGGCTTTGATGATTCCACCATCACAGGGCTGGAGACGAGCTGTTGTGTTTGGGGGCAAAAATACAAGTTTTACATTCGACAAAGTCATAGCAGGATGAGCAGCACAGTTATCAACAAACATTATAATTTTACGTTTTTCAAGAGTCATTTTGTTGTTCAGTTTTTGGAGCCAGTCTTTGAAAATTGTGGATGTCATCCAGGCACGTTTGTTCATTTGGTA